CTAAACCGATTACCCAACTCAATCAAGGTCGATAGTACAGACTTTTTTAATTCCAATTTCGATAATAGTGGCGACATCTTTGATTTAGTTTTTACATTATATTATATAATATATATCATTCTGTCTTACTCAAACGCATACATCTGTTCTTATCTAACATATGCCAGCACCATCTATCGCAAGACCGCGCAACTACTACTACACGGAATTTCGGTTCTGTTGACAGTCCCAGTCTCCGCAAAGCATCTGTATACACGTATTTCCTATTCGGTGAGAATATATCTTTTCTAGACTTTCAATCTTAGTTCTACAAATTCGGTATCGTTCGTTTCAATAATGTGATGTTTGCTGCCCGCTTATTTTCAAGATATGGACTCTAAAACTCTTATATCAAGCAAATATATATCCGAGGTGACAGCTGTGCGAGCCAAAAATAAGTAAATTTTATAATTTTTTTTCGATTTTCTCATAAAATCCAGTGTAGCAAACATCCTCTGTGTGCGTACTATAATTTAAGTAATAATACTTTTGCAATCCGTACATCCAATACGGAGAAATCCCACCGAATAGGAATGTGGTAAAACAGGGGGGCTTTAGCATCGCCTTAATAACTCTTTAACGAATATCGATCGACTGCTAAAATTGCTTCATGGTTAATATTCAGTTAAGTATTTTGCATAAATATCCGCAGTCTAGTAATAACTAACTGGGGTGCAATAATACCACCTTCTTTCTATATAATTACATATGAAATCACAATTATATATAAAATATGTCCATACAGGTTTATATATCCCTCTTTCCTTTGTAAAATTTTATTTTAGTGTAATAAAAACCAAGTATTATCTTTGTTATTTACTTAACTCTAATTATATATATATATATGTATCATTTGTATAAAAGATTTGATATCAAACGGCGCCAAGTTAAATTTCACAAAATTTTATCTATCATATTTTATTTATCATAAAAGATTACCTTTTCAAGGGGATGCTGAAGCTTCCTTTTTTATGAATAAATGCAAGCGTTCGTGTCCCTTTTCTCCGAATTAGTTGAATAATTCCTCCTGATTAAATGGTCCGTGTAATCTAGTTGTCTATTTTGTATCTAAAGCTGGAAAAAATAATAAATTACAGATTTGTGTATTCATTTTTACCTCCCCAGATAACCAAGCATGCGATACCCAGATAGCAAAATATCTCCACGGTATTAGTACGGTGAGCGTACGGCGTACTATGCGTGCCGATACCGTACCTGTCAGGTACATGCGTACCTAAAGGGTACAGTACCGGTACACCGTACTTTTGGTACGCCGTACCGATAATGTACGCCTTAGGTACGCATGTTACTAAAATTAATTAATTTTATAGTTTTATTGCTAAAATGAGTATTATTATTGATTAATATCTTATTCCAGAGTACACATCATAAAATTATGATGAAAAAAAAAAACTTTCCCTAAATTCGGGAACTAATTTCATAGTACTTCGAAGCGGTCACTTATCCAATTGTATACCGCCATTTACTATGCTTGACTTCTGAAATCATCTAGAAACCGCTGCATTTTGATGATCCACGAACACCTGTATAATCGTGGATGTATTATGGTTATGATATATCTGTTCAATATATGGTCTGATAGAAATTTATGCAGTTCAACTAAACATCCAGTCAGTTACTGTCTAATATTTAATTTTAATGTTACAAAGACTATTTTCAGGTTAGGCAATCATACGTTGTACTTTCGCAGTACCAGTTATTATGTACATCGTCTTCGACTAGAGATCTCCACAGTCTCTCTCCTATCGATAATGGTACGCCGTATTAATACGATACGGGTAATGTACCATGATATACCTAAACAGTATACAGTACAAGTACAGTGTTAATACGCTGTATTATAATATCATACATACTTTTTGTACTGCTACTGTACAGTTACGCCGTACACCGCCACCTCGTGACAGTACAGTAACAGTACGGTAGCAGTATCTTGTGCGAGTATACTCGCACCAACCCGCACAAGATACCGCTACCGTACTGTTAGGGTGCCGTCACGTGCGGCGTAACCTGCGTAAGCGTAACCTGCGTATTCTAGTAATTTACTAGAATACGTTATTTTTTATTTACTAGAATACGCCATTCTGAAAACCGGCATTCACATTGGGCGTATTTCGTGAAAGATTAGAGGAATGCGGAGCTAATGCAACCAATTGCTGATTAGAATTTCTATTGCACGTTCTAAAAAAATGTTAAACGAATTTATGATTGGTTTTCGTAACCTACGCAACTCGAAAAGTACGTATAGTAATATATATAATTAATTTGCTAATTATAATTAAAATTTTTAATTATAATTAACAAATTAAATAAATTTAAATTATAAAAAAATTCTCAGCAAACACAAAGCAACTGTAATATACCTAACATCAATGTTATAACTTCTCACTCAATGATAATTATTGCATATAAAGCATGTTCTATTGCAATTACATTATTGAGTAAGTAATAATAACATTGCATATGTGTTACTGTATATGAAAGCCCTGACGAAAATGAGAAGTTTCATAAACGTTTGTTTAACGTTTACATAAGCATTTGCAGGAATTCGTTGAGAATTCAGAAACGGTTAGTAGAGTGTTCAACCTATGTGAATCTGGCACCCGACTTTAAGAAAAACAATTTTTTTTATATGCATTGGATAGAGCTAGGTTAGTACCCAATTGTACTACCGTTCTTTTCGTTTGTACCTCACGGGGTTGAGAGAAAAAAAAATTTAAAAAAAAGTTAGCACCCCACTTTGAGATAATGAAATTTTTCAAACGCCATCAAATTCAGAATCGTTTGTACCCGTTTGTACCACCGTCTGTACAAACGTCTACAAGCGATGCCGAAAAGCACCCGGTTACAGATATAAGATATCTTAAAAATTGGCGGAATTAGCTCTCACTCCTATCTTAAAAATTCGGTACAATCACCCCCTCGGGGGTACAAACGAAACCGACGGCGGTACAAACGTCTACAAGCGATGCCGAAAAGCACCCGGTTACAGATATAAGATATCTTAAAAATTGGCGGAATTAGCTCTCACTCCTATCTTAAAAATTCGGTACAATCACCCCCTCGGGGGTACAAACGAAACCGACGGCGGTACAAACGTCTACAAGCGATGCCGAAAAGCACCCGGTTACAGATATAAGATATCTTAAAAATTGGCGGAATTAGCTCTCACTCCTATCTTAAAAATTCGGTACAATCACCCCCTCGGGGGTACAAACGAAACCGACGGCGGTACAAACGTCTACAAGCGATGCCGAAAAGCACCCGGTTACAGATATAAGATATCTTAAAAATTGGCGGAATTAGCTCTCACTCCTATCTTAAAAATTCGGTACAATCACCCCCTCGGGGGTACAAACGAAACCGACGGTGGTACAAACGTCTACAAGCGATGACGAAACAGCACCCATTTACAGATTTAAGATATCTTAAAAATTGGCGGAATTAGCTCTCACTCCTATCTTAAAAATTCGGTACAATCACCCCCTCGGGGATACCAACGAAACCGACGGTGGTACAAACGTCTACAAGCGATGCCGAAACAGCACCCGTTTACAGATTTAAGATATCTTAAAAATTGGCGGAGTTAGCTCTCACCCCTATTTTAAAAATTCGGTACATTCACCCCCTTGAGGGTACAAACGAAACGAACTGCGGTACAAACGGTTACAAACGATTCTGAATTTGACGGCGTTTGAAAAATTTCATTATCTCAAAATGGGGTGGTAACTTTTTTTTAAATTTTTTTTTCTCAACCCCTTGAGGTACAAACGAAAAGAACGGTGGTACAATTGGGTACAAACCTAGCTCTATCCAATGCATATAAAAAAAATTGTTTTTCTTAAATTCGGGTGCCAGGTTCACATAGGTGAGTGTTCATAAAGCAGAAATTGCAACGCTACAACGTTTGGAAGGCATCTTCTGACAAAAATAAGAAGTTTTATGAATGTTTGTTTAAAGTTTATATGAGCGTTTACAGAAATTTGTTGAGAATTTAGAAACGACCAGTAGAGTGTTCGTAAAACGGAAATTACAACGCTGCAGCGTTTGGAAGGCATTCTCTGAAAATAAGTTTCATAAATGTTTGTTTGACGTTTACATAAACGTTTAGTTCAAGTGTTGAGCCTGCTGAACGCAGATACTTTATAAAAAAAAGTACAAAATTTAATATTGAAAAGTCCCATCGTAGCTTTTTATCCTATTTGATGTGGTTTTTAAATGCGAAAAATTGAATTTTATTGTGTCCCTCTGGCAACAATGTTGCACTGCTTGAAAATTGAATATGTAGAAAAATGTTTGTTAAACGGAGGAAAAACGCTTGTGTTACGGAGTTGAGAAAAGCGTTTGATAAATCTTTGAAAAGTCTGACAGTGAACTCTCTGCACGAAGGTGCATCAGCGTTTACTGAGCGCCCTTTGAAGAGCGTTGCTTTAACATTACAGAACTTTCATGAAACGATATATACTGTATTTTATAAGCGTTCTGAAAGTGTTTAAACCCAATGGTGTTCTATAAGCGTTTTTATAAAGTTTGAAAGCGTAAAAATTCTCAAAAAATCGTCATTGAACGGTTGTCAACGCTTTATAAAGTTTCTTATTTTCGTCAGGGAAGAAAAGGGCCCCATCCCCGCCCTTTTCTGTGAGGCACAACCAAATAATTTGTCTCTCCATAGCCCGATTGCATCAACGTAAGATTAATTTTAATCTCGGTTTAACTTAATCATTTTTTTATTCTTAAAATTAATAAAAGAGTAAACTCAACCAAGATTAAAGTTAATATTACATTGGTAGAACCGGGTTCATCCATATTTTATCTGAAATAGAGAACAAATGAGTTAGGGGTGAGAACGACCCCTCCCCGTCATTTTCTGTAAAGCACGTCCAAGTTTATTATTGCTCTTCCAAAGGTATTAAAGAAATACAAAGCCACATTCATTTTTATCATGGATATTCATTATCTTCTATCACAATTTCTTGGTCGTCGAATAAATCTCTGTCTCCTTCGAGTAACATCTCCAGGATCTTGTCGTTGTTCATGCTGTCCTGGAATTCGTCGGCATCTTCATTTCTGTACTGTATGTCCTTGATATTGTTCTTCTCCCTGCCAAAAAATACAAATTTTCATAATTTTCTCAGAATTTCTCATAAAAATAATCAGATTTTCTATATAAAAATTCTAAAACTATATCAGAAAATTTTAATATTTTTTATACTAATTGGTACATTATTCAGAAATATTCAGACCAAAAAAATGAAAATTTATGAGTAAATTCACACTATTTTTTGTATTTTGTTAGATTAGTGTTACGATCGGACGGAGGTAACAATGTAAATATCTTCGCGTTTCTAAATTATTGAGTTAAGGTGCAGCGGTTCGCGTAATATCCCACCGCTGTCATCAAATTTGTTACGACCCGACGGAGGTAACAATGTAAATATCCTCGCATTTGTGAATTATTGAGTTAAGATGCAGCGGTTCGCGTAATATCCCACCGTTGCACAGTGGGCCAGAAAACCCGAAAACTGGTCAAAAGTAGAGTTTAAAATTTACTGTAAACAATATTTCATATGTCATAAGAATATCTCAGAGAACATATAAATGAACTGTATAATAAGGTTTTGGTAACAGGTTTCGAGGAATAGCCGCTTGATTACAAAATACAGGTGATAATTTTAAAGACCTATCTTTAAAATAAAAAACATTAAAACTATGAATATAAACTTTATAAATTAAATGTTTAAAAATCGTATTTGTTTTAAAAATGGATAAATAATAATGCTATACATTTATTTACTCTAAATATTAGCACTATTTTTTGTGGCTTTGTGGCAGAGCTATTTACGCGAATATTTCTGATTTAAATAGATTATGACTTAACACAAATCCATCGTGCGGCCTGTGCAGCCTCGGAATTGATTTTTTTTATCATGTTTTGTTCGTATGAATATTGTTGACGAGAACAAGTTGCCACTTTTTGCCACTTTTGCTTGTTACTAAAGATATGTATTTATTTTCCCACTACTACACAGTAGGCCAAGAGACTCGAATAAGTAAGTAAAAATCCATTTACTCCAGAATTTTGATAAAATTATGAAAAATTATGGTCATGTACGGGGGGTTCTTCGAATCGCTGATTTCGAATCTGATGTCAGAATTGCACAATTCAAAATGGCGGATCCAAAATAGCGAACAATTTTCTATAATAATTGTCTAATTTTTATGAAATTCAGTAGTATATATCGATTTTTTAATTTTTTTATTTTAAAATTTGAATGTAGTTAAACATTTTTGAAAATTGATTAATTAATTATTATTCAAACATAATTACAAATCTTCATCATACTGCTCTTCATTAGTCAAATGACCGTATCATGCAAACTTTCGTAAAAATTTGTAAGGCCGCTTGAGTCATCTTCTTTCTCGGTCTCGTTTGATTGAGAAAAAGAAAAAAATGTTCTCGTCTCGCAACAATAGAAGATGTATTTAACAGAACTATGGATACTTCTGACCGCATTATATCTACACTTAACCTTAATTCGCGAATTCAGAAAAGGCAGCACAAAGCTATCCCCAAAGAAGTAATTCACTTGCTTGACATTCCTAAGTTTGACCAGTCAATGGATTTTCTTTCTGAGTGAAATGAATTCGAGAAAGAAGATGACTCAAGTAACCTTACAAATTTTTACGAAAGTTTGCATGATATGGAGATGACTAATGAAGAGCAGTGTGATGAAGAAGATTTGTAATTACGCTTGAATACTAATTAACCAGTAAAAAAATGTTAAAAATATAAAAATAATAAAATACAAAAAAAATTAAAAAATTAAATACAAAAAAGTAAAAATAAAAAAACAGCAAAATGTCAATATCCGCCTCGATTCGTGACTACGGCAAAGAGCAGTAGTAATTTAAATTTACAAGTTCGAACTTTTTTCTCCAAATTTTATTAAATGTTCACTTTGAAGTTAGCCATATTGGATCCGTCATCTGTAATTTTAAAAATTGTAATGTCTAACTCGTAATCAACGACCCTGAAAAAAAGTTTTCATTAAAAATTTACTGGTTGCATTTTCGGGACGCCATTTTGGATCCGCCATTTTGGATTATGAAATTCTGACATCAGATTCGGAATTAGCGATCCAAAAAACCGTTATATATTTAATTTCATAAAAATTAGAAGATTATTATAGAAAATCGGCTGTCATTTTGGGTCTGTCATTTTGAATTTCTAAATTCTGAGTTCGGATTCGAAATCAGCGACTCCAAAAACCCCTGAATATCAAATTTAACAGCAATTGAAGCATTTTTAGCATTCTCGTTCGCGATGTTGGATCCGAAAAACCGTTATATATTTAATTTCATAAAAATTAGACGATTATTATAGAAAATCGGCTGTCATTTTGGGTCCGCCATTTTGAATTTCTAAATTTTGTGTTCGGATTCGAAATCAGTGACTCCAAAAACCCTTAGATACCGAGGTTTAATGCCAATCCATTAACATTTTGAATTTTGGCCAAGATTTCGGGTCGTCTGGTCCACTGTGCGCTGTCACCAAATTTATTAATCATAATACAACGCGAGGTGTAACGAATTTAAACATTTTCGCGATTCTATAATATTATAAATTAAATATTCCTGCGTCACGTTTTAGCCGCGTCGCTGCTGGATGCAGAGTGGGGAGCGAGCGAAACGGTCCTGCGTGGCGAGCAGGGAGGATACAGGATTGGATGAGTGGCGGAGTGTATACTAGAGTGGGGGAGGTATGATCAGAATGCGTGCGAGTCTCAGGACTCTCAGGTCGAGCGGCAAACCATGAGACCGCCAGCGCCGGCGTATTGCATGCTACAAGAAACCCTTTAAAAATCTTGTTTTAATATAATTAATTTAGAATTTAAATTGGTAATTGGGATTCAGAACTATTCTTTGTGAAAAAGTGACGTCATAAATTATTTGATTGAACAATTTATAAATTGCTTGTTGAATGCGCCATTGGTCTCTTAATGTTTCAGTAATTAATTGAAATTGAAACAAATGTTAGAATAGTTAATGTTCATATCAAGGAAATTTATTATGGTTCCGAGCAATTGGAGCCGTTTCATCACTTCATATCCTTCGGGAGGGGATGGAGAAGTGGATTGAATGAAAGTGATATATGACGCTATATTAAAATTTGAATTATTTTAATATTAAAAAATATACGGAATTAATACGGAACTAGCTGATTACATTGACGCGGATCCCTCGTTTAGTCGTTCTATCGACAAAAGTATAATATTTTATAGTATTACTAACGCGGTTGATAGCTCATGTGCAAAAAGAAAATTATTGCAGAATGGGTAATAATGGAAGGAAAGATTGAGCAGCTTCTATAAGCGCAGTCAATCCTGAGAAAGGACGGGCTAAGCAGCTCCTACGAGCGCAGTTAGCTCCTGGGAGGGGAGGGATGGACTAAGCAGCTCCTACGAGCGCAGTTAGTCTTGGAGAGACGGAAAAGCTGAGCAGCTCCTATGAGCGCAGTCAGCTTGAGGAGTGAGGAAAAAGGGGGAGAGTCAAGGTAATTTGAAATAAGTTATTCATACTTTTCTTTCTTGAAAATACAATATATTATTTTTAAAGATATTCCAGCTGGTCCTCGCCAAGTCGGCTGTGATTGACAGAAGTCGATCAGAAAAATGACGCCGAGCTCGGTTTTCGCCCTGTTTATATAGGCGCCAATCGGTGGCGCTCGCGAGTCGGGAGGAAGGGGAAGCGCGAATTTCCCAGAATTGGGCGTACGTGACAAATGCGAAAATGGGACTTTTTCCCCGAAATATTATTTATACCGGACTAAACCTCGGTATGGTTTACGCGAACTTAATTTAAAACCGAGAAATCGAGTTATTTCCGCGTTAATTAGTAGAATTTTAAAGTTATTAGTAAATTAAGTTTTCGGATCCTTCTCCGTGATCCGCGCTGCTCTCTCCGTGGTCCGCGCTGCTCCTTCCCCGATTCTCGATTAATCGGCGCTCGCTAACGCGACTAATTCGCGTTTTATTATCAATTTCGAGTAAATTAAAGCGGTCGCGATGGCCAAAAGATAGTAAATAAATAAAGGCGCAATGCGAAACTTTAAAATCAATAATATTTTCGGCCAGGGCAGCTGAAATCCCGCTAAGAGTTCGGAACGATGAGCGACACGCGCATCGCGGACCGTGATTGGTGTGCGATAGCTTATTCCCATTCGAAGGATTATAGGCGTTGAGGCGTTTCGATTAAATTAATTTTCCTAAATTTTGCGTAGAATAGTAACGACATGATCATCATGACATATGGAAACGATTCATTAACTCCACGCGGAGTTATTCTGTCTAAAATCTTATCGCAACGCATCAGCACGCGGCACGCGCCTCATAGGTGCTCCGATTGGCCCTCGCGGCACGTGCGTCACGTGGTGTCGGCATGACAGAATTGCGCATCGCCGAGTAGGTTTCTCGACACGGAATATTCGTAATTAATTAGATAGAAATATTTTAGATAGGCGATATGCGATACGAAAAATAACTCAGCGCGAAATAAAAAGATAAAACAAACAAAAATATATATAAAAAAAACAAAATTATATCCTTGTGGAGGGCAGGCCGTAACATTAGTAATCTGAAATATTTTCAAGAGAAATCCACGATTTATTATCTTTTATTTTCCTGTCCTGTCTTTGAATGCATTTCATTTAGTAATACAAAACCGCAAGTGTCGTTTTATTTTTCATTTTCGTTGGATAACGAATAAAAGTATGTGACGTGTTAACGGAAGTCGACTATGTCATTTTATCTTTGTTCGGTGTCTAGTATAAAATAAGATGAAATAACATTTGCGATAATTTGTATCGCTAAATGAAATGCAATGAAAAACAGGACAAAAACTGATAAATCGTGGTTTTTTCAGAAATATTTCTTTAAATGGAACACATTACAATTCCTCATATAAATATTCTGAGTAATGTGGAGTATGTATGTGTGCGTGTATATTATATTTAATATTTTTATCGCGTAAATGACTTTTGTAAAAGTTTCTCATATATATAAATGAAAAATATTCTGAAATTTGTTAATTTTCTAAGAAATATTGAAAAATCTGATTTTTTATATTTTTCAAAATTTCTCTTAAATATAGATTATAAAAATTCCTAAAATTAATAAGATTTCTAGGAAATATTTTTACCATTGCTGAATGTCCTTCATTTCGTCAGTCTCAGTTTCTTCAATTTCCTCCATGTGCTGGGTCTTCTCCAGTTCGTTGCCGTCTTCAATTTCTTCTGGGTCGTCCTCTGAGTCGTCCTCTGGGTCGTCCTCTGGGTCGTCCTCTGGGTCGTCCTCTGGATTGTCCTTTGAGTTGTTCTCTGGGTTATTCTCTGGGAATTCTGCAGTTTCTTATAGATCTTTTTTTCCACATTGAAGGAAGAAAGATAATTCTTAACTCGTTCTTTGATACAAACAATAAAGATGGACACAGGCCTCATTTTCATTATCCATTCGCGGATGTCGATTTGGTGGCAATTCTTCAATTTCTTGTCGTCGTTTTCTGTTGTAATGCCATTTTCTGGTTTTAAGACTCCTCAGAGCTTTTTCCAGAGCTTCATAAAATTCGACATTGTTGGGAGTGGGAAAATATTTATTTTATGGCATCTACAAAATCGACAAAAAATATGTTAGTTATCATGTTTTCAATGATTGTTTACATTCACTTTTAATCAAATTTAATAACATCCATTATTTTAAGTCTGGTAATGATAGCCGTTCCATTTTTTAGAAGCTAGATAATCAGTAGTTATAATTAGTCAATCTCAGAATGTTACAAAATCCGAATAAGTTTGGTATAAACGTAATCAATATAAAATATAATCCAGGGATAGAAACCGTTAGCTTTACCATTATTTTTTACAATAATGATTTGTCAATGACGTTGTTTTTTTATAATGGTAACAATGACAAATAACTAAAAGTTAGGATTGAGAAAGAAATTACTTTTGGAAAGTTATTTATTTAAAAAAGTACTCATTATTTGTAAAGCGTCGACTCGTTACTTTAACTCATTATAAGAAATAAGTTACTTTTTTCAATAAACAACACATGATAGCAACAAGTTACTTTTAAGAAATGATCCTTAACCTTTTTTTTTCTTTGCGTAGGAGAAAAATCTTCACAAACCCACCATCCGGAATGTTCCGAAGAGAACCTAACCGGATGGCGGGACGATTCCCAGGAACCGGTTCCCTGCGTGTGCAGGATTTGATGCGCCTATATCCCCCAGAAGGGATAACAGATACATCGTCTACCCGCTAAAAAACTCTCCCGTATATAAAACTCTCCCGTCTTTTATATACTTTTACAATCATAAATATTTTTTTATTATTTAAGGAAACATTGATATGCAACGTAAACATTAATGAAAATCAGAACCTTCGAAATGAATAGCATACGGACAAAGAAAATGAATCTGATTTAACTTCAGCACTATTCGAAGAAAGTAACAGTCCGAAATATGCAGGTAAATACATTTCAATAACGTATTTATACATATTATATACAAGGTGGTGTGTAGTACAGCTAATACTAGAACGAAGCAAATACAATTTATTTCGTTAAAAATCATAATTTGTATTTCTCAAATAATATGTGCAACTATTTTTCAGATTCTTGGACTGATTCGGTAACTGTATATTTATGCTAGACAAATATAAATACCTTTCTCAAATAGGCCCAATGAAAAAATTTAAATCGAAGAAGGTAATGTGGGCAGAGATTTCAAAAGAATTGCAAAAAAATTGTAATGTTTCAAAAACACCACTACAGGTTAAAAATCGTTATAAAACGAAAAAAGAAAGCGGTGGAAAACAATCATAAATCAGGCGGGAAGAGGTCCCATTTAAAGAAGAGTTAAGAGAAATTAGCCAAGCTGATGATAGCATTGAGCCAGAAGTACTTAGAAGTGCAAAATACCTGTGAAATACTTACAAAAGCCTCTAGTCGAAATCATTTCATCAGACCAGGATTCAAATATTAGGTGTACAACTTTGCTTCCGTCGTTTTCCTATAGATGACTTTAGCGGTGGTTGAAATAAATAAATCATAGACATCATACAATAAACTTGGGCATCTGTCAACATAACCCCACAGAAACATTAGTCGATTTGTGTCTACATCATAAAGTTATTCTCGATTAAAAATGTCAGTTTACGAGCCAAATTTTCGTCATTTGCGGAAGGTTTTAATTTTCTGCTTCAATATGAAGAAATCTGCGGCTGAGGCTCATCGAATGCTCTCAAATACATATGGTGAGGCCGCTATTAGTGAAAGAACGTGTCGTGAGTGAGTTTCAATGCTTCAAGAACGGTAATTTTGACGTCAAAGACCGGCATAGCAGTGGAAAAGAGGTTTTCAAAAATGCAGAATTGGAGGCATTACTTGATCAAGACTCGTGTCAAAATCAAGAAAAATTGGGAGTGACTCAACAAGCCATTTCAAAACGCCTCAAAGCCATGGGAATGATTCAGAAGCAAGTAAATTGGGTGCCGTACGAGTTGAAGCCGAGAGATGTTGAACGGCGTTTGTTTGCTTGTGAACAGCTGCTTGAAAGGCAAAGACGGAAGGAATTTCTGCATCGCATTGTGACTGGGGACGAAGAATGGATTCATTACGACAATCCCAAGCGCAGAAAATCATGAGGAGTTCTCGGCCATGCTTCCACGTCGACGGCCAAATCGAATATTCACGGCTCCAAGGTCATGCTCTGTATTTGGTGGGACCAGCTCGGCGTAGTGTGTATTATGAGTTGTTAAAACCGACTGAAACAATCTCTCGGAGCTCGTGCCAGATTTTTGCACGAAAGGGCGAACACTCGACACTAAATTTATCAATGAAACAGGGCGCACGATCTTCGTGCGTACTGAAATCCCCAGTGACACACGCAGTCCGCGCCTAGTACGCACTCAGTGCGCACTAGTTCTGCCAATGAAAAACGCTATTAAAAATAAATTTTATGTTAAATTGCTACATTTATAATGTTAAATTATTTAACTGAAATTAGATGCTATTTTTACATTTTTAGTTTAGACGATACCTCTGTGATATTTAACATATTCAATATATAGATTTAACAGATATTTACTGTTACAAAGAGAAAATAACACAAAATATCTGTACCTTTTTACATATAAAATATGTAACTAGTTGTACACAACATATTATTTCTTCAATAAAATTAACATTTATAATATATAACATTCGGTTTTAGATGGCTTTTTCCACGTGCGCAAGATTGAAATAGCGAATTCTTATTCAAAAATTATTTATATTTCACACATATTACTGATAAATAATTACTGATAAATAAACGTTTCAGTCTGTCATCAGACCTTTTTCAATATTCAACAAATAATGTTTAAAACAGACTTACAAGTAGTACTAGTATTGTCCGTGTTGTCGAGTGTTGATGATGTGTGTTTTGTTTTCTCGACCGTTGGTTTGTAATATTATTATCAGGACGTGATTTCTCGCTGCGCTACTAATGTCTTGGTTAAATAATTTAACGGAGAATCAGGAAGTTTTTTGGTTTCAATTGTTGGCATCTGGGATTGGTGGTTCAGCGATGCACGTACTGATGACGTTGAAGACGTTTAAAGAGAGGAAGCTGTCATCTCAGTCGCTAGGAAATTTCAAATGTAGATTAAAGCAAAGTACATGTAGCGCGGACATTATAATTATGACATGATCCGACGATCGAATTTGGTATAGGATTGACTCTTAAAATATAAAGTCATACGGATGGAAATTTATATAATGTGAATATCGAATAAAGCGAATGTATGTTTTGAGATAGGTTAGATTATTTATGGAAGTATTATTGTAAGTCTGTTTTAAACATTATTTGTTGAATATTGAAAAAGGTCTGATGACAGACCGAAACGTTTATTTATCAGTAATTATTTATCAGTAATATGTGTGAAATATAAATAATTTTTGAATAAGAATTCGCTATTTCAATCTTGCGCACGTGGAAAAAGCCATCTAAAACCGAATGTTATCTTTTAAATCGATCTACGGTTTATTATTTATTGTTATTTATAATATATTACATCAACACACATTTTCGTTTATTCTTAGAATTTATGTTTTAAAACTACATTATTTTTATATTATTAGTTTACTTACCTATAAATTGTGTTATTTTAACACTGAGAAATGTTAAATTTTTATTTATCACAATATTCAAATCACACAATCATATCATATTATATTAAAACTCGGATGTGTTAAAAATTCAATATAAAATTGTTTTTAACAAGGATTTGAGTGGACCGCTTCTAACACAAATATAAAATAATTTTTACTGTGTAACTGTAATTGTCATTTCTGTCACAAAATTTTGCCCTGTTAAAATCCTTAATTCCTCCAACTTCTTTTTCCTTGCTCTATGTTTTTCTACGCGTTCATTCTTTGTGTGCAGATTTTATTGCTGTGTGCAGATTTTATTACTCAATATTTATTTTTATATAATAAAACAAGATTTAAAGACTAACTTCAATAAAATTTGACAACGACGTTTAATTTCACCAATCTTTTTGCAACGACTGCACGCATGATCTAATAGTATTAGGTGTTAAACTTAATTCCTATCGTTTTTTCGTCTCGAAAATCGATTTGTTTCGAAGGGAAGATGAATGAATACCTTAATAAAAGTAATTTCCTCCATTTTCTACTACTTTTTCCCATCTCTCCGATAACAGGGCAATCCCACGACGGTAGAACGCGATGTCTTTCGAGGCGATCCATTCATCCACCCATTTTTGGACTTCGTTGTAACTGGAGAAGTGTGTGTCCGTAAGTGCGTGTTGAATCGATCGAAAGAGATGGTAATCCAACGGTGCCAAGTCTGGAGAGTACGCTGGGTGCGGCAGAACTTCCCATTCAAGCTCTCAAAGTGTCTG